TTTTTTCCTCCCCCCCCCTTTTTTTTCCTCGTTTGACGACTCCGTCTGTTGCTTGGGTGCGTGTGCGTGGCCTGGGGTGTGTGTGGGTGTGTGTTTTTCTCACGACTCTCTTTCTGCCTTCCCTCCCTCCCTCCCTCCTTCCCTCCCTCCCAAATCCCGTGCGCCCGGGATGTGCCGCCTTCCTTTTAAGAGATGCCAAAGTGTTTTGTTGCTTCTCTCACCAAAAAAAAAAAACCCAAAAAATACCTTTTGGCTTCAAAAGGTGGGGAAAAAAAAAAAATCACCCCCCAAACCCGGCTGTGGGTTGGATGGTGGGGGTGGGCTGTAAATAAACACCCACAGCCAAACCGCAGAGCCCCAGATCATCTTCGTGGCTGCTCTTCTTCCTCACTCATGGGAGGAGGAAACCCGACTCGTGTTTAGATACCGACCTGCCTGAGGGTTTTTTTTTCTTTTTGGGGGGTTGAGTGGGGGGGAAAAGGTCATTTTTTAAACTCTGTGGGGGGGGGAAAGGAAGAAGAAAACGCCGCCGGCCAGCTCTGCGTGGCTGCTCACGGGGCCGACCCCAGCGTGCCCTCGGTTGGCTCAGAAAAGCCAGAATTTGATGTAATCAGGTTGTAATTGCTGCTTTTTTTTGGGCTGTTTTTCCTCCTCCTTCCCTGGACTCTCCACTTTGCCAGTTTTCGCTGGGGGCCGTGAGCATCCCCCCAAAACCCTCTGCCCCGGGGGAATTTCTGGGGGTTTTGTCCCAGAAAACAAACTCTGGCTGCTCATCGAGGGGTTCAAACCCCCTTCTTGGGGAGAAAAATGAGCCCGGCTGCTTTCCCCCCACTATTTTTGGAGCGAGTCGACGATGTGAGAGGGGGAAACGAGCCCCCCTGGAGTTTTTCAAGCCTGAAAGTGAATTCAGAAAGGTCTGGGATGTTACAGAAAACCTCCAGGATGGGGAAATCTCATCCCAAAGCCATTTTGTCTTGATTTGCCTGGACACTGTAAAAAAATGTGGGGAAAAACCCGTTGGTAAACGTGTCCCTCAGGTCCTTAAATCCCCCTCGAGCTCTTTTGGGGGGGGATTTCACCCCAAACCCTGTTCTTTTGTTGTCAGTAGGAGGGAGCAAGGCCAGTGGTGGCTTCGTGCTCGTCCTGCCTGAGCCTTTATGGGGCTGAAAAGGGGGGTTTTGGGGTGTCCTCGGAGCCCCACAGCTAAAAAGGTGCCCCAGTTCCCCCTCCAGAAAACCAGTGGTGGTGAACTGGGAGCCCATTCCCTGGATGCTCAGGGGTCTCCCCAAGGAAGCACCTACCACCAAACAGAGGGTGAAAACTCCCAACCCGGCAAGAAATGGGTGAAAAACAGGCAAATGGATGGCATTTGGGACGGTGGGTGATTTTTCAGGCTGGGTTTGGAGGAGCTGGGGGGGTCCGAGGAGGGACTGGAGCTGAGATGAGCCCCTGGAGGCTGCGATTTCCCTCCTTGGGGTCCCCAAAAAAAGACCTTTTTCCCTTCATGTGCATTGAAAACAGCCTGGATTTTCCCCCAACTGGTTTAAGGAGGTGATTTTTGGGTAGGAAATGCCCCCCTTCCCCCCTCTCCGTTATCTTTCCGACTGGGTTTGGCCGCTGGGGTTGATTGTTGTGTGATTTCACTCCTTTAATGAGTGGAAGCTGCGCTTAACGAGCTGCTGTCGTTACCTGGATGTGGTGGGTGGTGATCACCCACTGAATCAGCTTCACCCCCCCGTGGTGGGATGTTTGGAGGAGGCTGTGACACCTCCCCAGCTTCTCCAGCCCCGATCCGGGGGGGGGTCCAGCCCCACACCCCTTCCTTAGGGCATTTTTTTAGGTGCTTTTAATAAATTCCAGGTGATCTGGGGGGACAGAAAGGGAGCAGCGTCCGTTCCCCTGCGCTCGAAGCCCCGAGATGGGGAGCTGGGGGGATGATTTTGGGGTTCGGGGTCTGACTCCTCATGGGGGTGAGCTGAGATTTTTCCCTTTTTTCTCCGTAGTTTGTGGAAAAAGGTACAAGAACCGGCCGGGGTTGAGCTATCACTACGCTCACTCCCACCTGGCCGAGGAGGAAGGTGATGACAAGGACGATTCGCAGCCCCCGACTCCCGTCTCGCAGCGATCGGAGGAGCAGAAATGTGAGCAAAAAAACAAGACCACCCCCTTTTTGCCCCAAATCCCCATCATGAAAAAAGGGCAGAAAAACCGGGAAGTCGCCCCCAACCATGAGGGGTGAACAGAAGAGGTTCCACTCAAATCTGAGGAGAAACTTCTTCAGGGTGAGGGTGGCAGAGCCCTGGAAGAGGCTGCCCAAGGAGGTTGTGGAGTCCCCTTCCTTGGAGATGTTTCAAGACCCACCTGGATGCTCCTGAGTAACATCCTCTGACAAGCTCTAGGCAATCCTGCTTCAGCAGGGGAGTTGGACTAGATGATCTCTATGGTCCCTTCCAACTCTAAAATTCAGTGAAATTCAGTGAAACCAGGGCTGGGAGGGAGCAGTGTCCCTTTCCTGATGATTTTGAGCATCCTGGCGTCGCCCCGGGGCTCCGAGTCGCTGGAAAAGCTGCTCTGAGTGTGGGGATTTGTGCTGTGGGTGTGGTTTTTTTCCTGCTCCCATGTGGAAAACCTTTATCCTGCAACTAATCCATCTCTTCCCACTTTTCCAGCCAAGAAAGGCCCTGACGGTTTAGCTTTGCCCAACAACTACTGTGATTTCTGCCTGGGAGACTCCAAAATCAACAAGAAAACGGGGCAACCGGAGGAGTTGGTCTCATGCTCGGACTGCGGGCGATCAGGTAATGGGGGGGGGGGG